TTAAGGTAGTAGTCGAGCACTCTACAGTGCGTGCCATAATGCGCTGTAGCGTATGCGTATACTATATATATCGCTTCGACAACTATCTCGAAAAATGACAACGTTGTAGGAGCGAATTTCACTGAATTTATCAACTTTGCAAAGCTCGAACAACAAAACTATACCGCTGAGCCCTTTTAAATTGGAACCACAGTTGCTTTATAATATAAATTATATCATACTATTTTTTACGAAACATTGTAAGAAGCGTTTTAGAGATATAAGCAATTTCGTTCACAAATCGACCCCCAATCCGGCGCTTTCCTATACCTCCTGTGTTAAAAGTTCAACATTAAAACTTTAATATCTCCAAAACTATACCGCTAAGCCTCTTCAAATTTTGGCTCATGATAAATAATAGCAATCTTAAGGCACACACAAAATTTTAGAAAAATCGTAAGAAAAGTGTTTTTGATCGACTACTACCTTAAAGCACAGTAAAAAATGATAGTGTGCGTGTTGTGTAGGTACTGAGACTCCGAATTCTCTTTTGTGGTTACACGTGTGAGCTTCATATCCAGACTGCATGATATATGCGCTAGCTAAACTAAAATATTTGTCAATCGTCAAGAACCCCTAACAGATATTGTCTTTGGATAATTTTAACTTCAACTTCGTTGAAAGTCTATCTTTAGTGAGTCCAGAGTAGAGGCTACCTCGATACTTTGAAATTAGTAATTAAATACAATTTGCAAACAGTTTCAAAACTTTTCTGTAGTTAAAAGAAAGTTAAAAAATATTTCACTTTAAGGAAATATGTTTAGATGGTGCAGGCAGAGATTGAGTAGAGAGATTGCTGATTCAACCCAGCCCTTGTTTAAAACTCTTATTCAGGCGCATCGTCGCAGTCAAGCTATTGAACTAAGTGAAAACTTTCTAGAAACATGGAAGGAGTAAGCCATGATATTCGGTTACGAGTAGAAAGGTCCACTTTTAAACAGAGATTAGAAAGGAATTTGCCAGTACTTGGTATTCAGTTAAGAAATTTCAAAACAGAAGCTATGTCACTGGAACATATACATAGCTACATAGGTTCTAGTGAGAAAGTAGCACCAATCATCGCGATTGCAGCTGGAGTGTGAGAGGGATCCAGTGGTTCTCAAGCTCTTATTCTTATGCATAAGTACATGTAGTACCTTTTGTGTTGAATGCTGTGGACTTAGTATTATTATAGTCCAGTTATTAAAGCGTAAAAAAAATTATTATGAAGTAAATTCTGCCATTGGCGAGAAAAGCGTTTTAGTCACTTTGAAATATAGTATAATTATTAGGAATAATAGTTTTGTCCAACCAAGGTGTTGGCATTAACTTGAAGTCAACAAACAGTGAGAATTAATTACAGTTATTCTGCATTTTAGTTTGTAACTTCTTTCCTACTGGTCCGATGAAAAAAGTAAAAACAAAATTACTTGTGATTGAATTATGTATGTTTTTAGGTTCTTTTATAAGAAAATTATAAAGAAATTTGTTTTTTGCAATGTNACTTTACTTGCTCCCATAGAGTATTAGAGATTTATTTAGGCAACTAAATAGCAGCATACGTGATATCACTTACGTTAGTTAAAATAGTGAAGTAAAGCGAAAAATGGGCAGATTATTTCTAATTTCTTAATTGCCCAACTTTCCAAAACTTCTTATCGAGGTAGATTCTGACTTACTAGCATCTTGTTTAAATGCACTTTAAAGTTTTAGTACTTGTTACGTCATCACTGATGACAGCTATTGTCGATAGGATGAAATTCACTTTTTTATAAACAGTTAGAATTAAAATATAAGTTTGTTTGGAGTATTTTTGACAATAAAAGTTATTCCGATCACACTGCAGAGTTTTGGTGACTTCATGGTTAGCATGCATGCTAGTCTCATAGCTAAAGAAACGTGAGAGGTTATGGTTTATTATTCGGAAAAAAAATTATACGATTTTTAAGATGAATAGAGAATTTTTCCGGATTATATATAAACCTTCAGTGCTTCCTTTGTAAGGAAGCCAACAGTTGGACAGATCATGAGTAAAGTCATTATCAGTTTTTAGAAAGTCGGTACGGTAAACTAGATGGTTAATTAGAGGTGTAAACCGACTCCTAGCACCCCTAGCGTATTTCATCTGAACTCGAGTGGGGTCAAGCCGCCAATGATTTGAACATATGAAAACTGTCTA